CCCCCCCCCCCCCCCCAAATTAGTGAGCAAAGGGCCTATCCAAAAGTTTTCACACTTTCTTAAGTCCTCATTGTTGTTATCAATTAACATAAATTGTTCCACATGTTCTACGCTTATGCTTTATATGTGACTTGTAGTTTGCCAAACGAAGCTTAAAATTAATAGTAGAACCAACCCCCTGTAAACCACAAGCCACAAACTGAGCGAGGTAAACCACATTCTCAGATGTACACGTCAAGGTCTTAGGGATGCTAAACAACCTACCGGTCACGGTTGAACTAAATGAATTGCCCGATGTAAGAAAATGTTTGCAACAATTACATCTCTTGGCTGTACATGTAATACAACCCTGACCTACAGGTTCAACCCCTCGGTAAGGAATAGACGGGGCCAACAGCTCTTTTAAATTGGCCCCCTTACTATAGGACACTATATAGGTAGAATTTTTGGGCAAAATCTCACAGGCCTGCTCATCAGCATCAATGATATCATGATGTTTTACTTAATATCAATTAGCTTAAATTTATTTGTTTTGTTAGGAAAATGGATTCTTTACTATCATTGCAATTGGTTTTCCTGACCGCCTTTATTTATATCCGTTGTGCGCATGCGCAATGCAGCAGAGGAGAACCAAATAATGGTAAGGGTTTCAAAAATAGTGGACGAATTGATTATTGCGTACGTATTTAAGAAAAAACAATTTGTGCAACAAAAAAATTTGAAAAAAATTCGTGCACAGACTTTACAATAGGGGAAATTATAAGTTGAAATAAGAAAAAATTCGTGTAAGGGATTATACTTAAAAACATTATCGACACAAGCAAAAAATTAAAAAGAAATATTTGTACAAGTTAAAAAAAGTCCGCCTCCCCCCATCACTTTTCTAATGGTCCGCTAGATTAAAAATAAACATTACAAAGATAACTGTTTCTCTGAATCTTATTTCTTGTAGAAGAGAGGGACGCGAGCCAGCCAGATCTAAACATCACATCTTCAGGACCGGTTGTTCGTGTTGGTGATGAACTGAAAATAACATGTATAGCTGATAGACCTCGTTATCAATTCCAAAGTATCCAACCGATGCCGCCAATTGAGGTTAGATCCTTCTTCAATGGAACAGAAGTTAATAAAATTTGTCCTGGAACGGGAGGACGGATTGAATGTGTTCACACAGTTCAGTTAACCAAAGCTGGAAACAACGTTGTGGTAATATGTTTTGCCAGAAATGCCGGTGGAGGCTGCCGAGTAAAGACATTATTCATAACTATATTGGGGAGAACAACTGGTATGTATCTCTATACTATATATCACATAGACAAATTGTTTTCAATTTCAATTGTCAGTTAAACTTACTTGTACCTATATGAATTTACTGTGCGTATATATTCTGGTATGGCTGCTTTGTCAGCCAGCAGGCATGATGATATATATTGATATATATTTTATATATATATATATAAATATATATATATATATATGAATATATATATATATATATATATATATATATATATATATATATATATATATATATATATATATATATATATATATATATATATATATATTTCATATTATTATTTATATATATAATATATATATATATATATATATATATATATATATATATATATATTTCATATTTTTATGTCTTTGTTTGACATTCGACAAAGCAGCAACACTCGCTAAGTACGAGGCGCGCATAAGTCTATACAATGAACTATAGAGTGCTCAAGAATGTGGTACCCCGAACGAGCATAATATATGATTTCGGTATTTTTTGTTGAGTTTTTTTCTCAAGGTCTTGCTTACTTTATTTCCTTCCACTCGTGAGCTCACTACGTGATCATAGTAATCAAACGTAGTGTCCAGGCCTTGTGACCCTGGATGG